ACAGATTTGCAATGATAGTCGTCTCCAATCGGCATTTTGTGCAACAATTTACAAAACCCCTCCTCTTTTTCACAATAGTACAGAATAAATAACTGAGTTTCAATACAAGCGTTACCAATATCAACATAAATCATGAGATGGAGCACACAATCTTATATAACAAATTGATCCAAACTACCTTTTATCAAACACCTGGTAAATTCAAGCTGTGACCATCAAGGACAATTAAACAAATCCACGGATAATAAGCTCCCACAAACAGCCAATATTAATAAAGATTCGTCTCAAATACAGAAATTACAAACACCTGAGTTCTTCATGACTTCAAAGTTCAAGTAGAAAGTAACTGCAAAGACTAATACGGGACGTTCTTGGGGAGATTGCGTATCACATTACTTTTCATCCCAATCTTAGAGCGCATGACCTCAACACCATTCTTGTTCATTGCTTTCATCACTTTCATCCGGACTATGTTTTCTCTCGACTGCACAGTTGCCAGACCCATGCTCTTATATCTGCACAATAGTCTGAAAATATTAGCTTCATGGCTACCACAGTGGCTACCACAGTATATTGAGTTTTTCATCCACAAATTTTTTTCGTACTTCTGCACTTCTTACACCAGAAAAAGCAAACAGGCGAGGGGCTGGAATTTCCAAAAGCCACTCTTTAACAAGTGATTTTTTTTCTTTTTCTTTTTTTTAATTGTTTCTCGCTTTTTTCTAATCAGACCAAACATGGGGTCCTGTTTTTAATCGACCCCATTTATGTTTTATGCTCTTTCCGTCTGAGAAATGTGGCAACAAATGCGATGCACGGGATACTATAGTTTATAGTTTTTTAAGTGCAGAAATAGAAAGGTTTCTAATCACATACCTTGATGCTAATGCTGCAGTAATGGCACCATTGGCAGAGGTAGGGCGGGGTTTCTGGCGGTAGTATCTCAAATACTCTCGAGAGCCAAGCATTTTAATTGATTTCGAGCCATCATTTTGCCTGGTTATAATCAGCTCCGATCCACCGCTACCCAGTTGAATTGCATTATGCAAGTCGTCAACAGCAACTATTTGCTTCCCGTCAACGTCCACGTAACTTTTTAAGACCAAAAGAAAGATTGAAAAAAAAAAAAAGAAAATGGAGGGGTTGAGATAAAAATTGGTCACTAGAGCTTGACAATTTCATCAAAAGCTAAATAAATGGCAAATTAAAAACCTGCTGCTGTAATCATAAAATTCTTCCAGTTCTGCTTCCTCATCTTCAGTTCCATCACCATAGTGCACTTTACAGTGACTTTTTGCTTCCATGTGCTTTCGAACAGCTTCCAGACTACTGAAAGGATGGCACCTCCAGTTGCAGTACAAACAGATAAAGTCCCTCTTCACCTGATGAAGAAAAATTTAAGAGCAAGTAAATATTAAAAATTGTTAAAAAAATATTTTGAACCTATATATAATGACACATTAATATGGTACCAAGTTAGATCACCTTCACATATAATCGTGATAATTACAAAAGATACCTGGGTTGCAGATTTAGAAGAAGTTTACGACCAAAAAGAATAAAAAGAAAAACAGAAATATTATTATTATTACTAGTGCGTGGCCCGTGCGATGCACGAAAAAATAATATTATGATTATGTTATAAATTAGATATATAAATAACATTTTAATCAACGTCCATTATTTTCAAATTAAGCCGTGTTTGGTCACAGTCCGACCGGGTGGACCGAGAACTGGTTTATAACCAGTCTAGTTCGCTTGAATAAAATATTTGCTATCGAATCCGTCAACACCAGTTGGTTGAATTGGTATGATCGATACGATTTTCTAAATAAATTTTGCTACATTTAAAATTATTTTAAATAAAATTACATATTTAAATAAAATAGAGATTTATAAATTGTTTATCAATTAGTTTAAACAATTGAAATTTTAAATTGTTTATATATTTAAGTAACACGTTTTATTTGAATTTATTACAAAAAGTATTACATATGTGTGTGTGTGTATATATATATATATATTAAAATATTTATAAATTAAAAATATGAAAAACCACAAATGATTTAATAAAATAACTTGATCGTTTCAGTGATGTTCTGATTTTGAAAACTTTATGTTTATTGTACATTAATAAAAAAATATAATAAAATATTATTTTATTCACATAAATATAAATAAAATGATATAAATTTTTATAAATTATTAAACATGATTTCATAAAGTATTGTTAATACGATTATTTGAAGTTTGAATTACATCACATTCACGTAATAAAGTATTTTCAATATTAAATTTAAATTTAGGTTCAATAATCAATTTGGTCTGGTCAAACTGATACATAAATTTGTCACATAGGACCAACCAAGTTGTGTGAACTTTTTTTTACTATTTTAAATACTACCTACAAGTAATTTAATCAACCTGGACAGTACCCTAATTCAATCACCCGATTGATCTAAAGAAATTTTCTTATTTTCTTTAAAATACTTAATTTTATGAAATAAAAATATTTTATGATTCATATAATAAATGTTTACACCAAATGATAGTATATTAAGATTATAAATTATATATCTAAAGACGAATTAATTAATTTTACTTTATGCATATTAATAAAAAAATACACATAGTAATTTTTAAAAAATTAAGATTAATATAATTAATTAACAATTTAAATAATATTTTAAGCATTCAATATTTTTTTTGAAAGGCACAAATATAGAGACCAATATTTTAAAACTTTTGTTATATTTTGAATTGAGATTTTATAAACATGGGGACTGAGATTTTAACGTTGTTCATTGGTTCTAAGAAAAAAATAAAAATAAAAACATGAACACTTAATAGATCTTAGCCTGGTTTTTTAAATAATAAAATGAACTAAAACCGAAATTTAAGGTGACATTTAATGATGTATGATTTTTAAAGAAATAAAGTAAGAAAAATAATAAAACTTACTGTTTATGGGTTGCATTAAATTCTAACATATTTTTTCTAATATTTTTGGTAAATAGATTGTCTCTTTATATATATACTAGTGCATACCCCGTGCGATGCACGTGATACATATAATAAATCAATTATTTCTATATTGACAAAAAAACAATAGGCTTGGATCATCTATATTTTACATCTTTTAGTAAGTGGCGTTTATTTAAGTCAAAAAATTAACATGTTAATTAATATATAATTCTGCTAACACGTCATACTAATATTTATTTGATTTTTGAATATATATTTATTCATTGATATAAGAAAAAAAATAAAAAATTTATTTATTCTCGTCCATCATATAATACTCAATTATTATTTTATTATAAAATTTATAGTCATATAATGTCATTATTATTATTTATAAAAGTTATAGAAGTAGTCTTCTTTATATAATGAAATTCAAAATAAAATTTTGAATATAAATGTTTACAAAATATACACATGTTTTTTAGAATTCAATTTTTTTATAATAATTCTTTTTTTTATAAAAAATGATTTAGCAATTGTCAAAAAATAAATTCCTTACATAATCAAGAGATTTTTTTCTAATTTTCGTCCTAATGCTTTATAGTTTATTTAACATACTATGCAATAGAAAAAATATTTTACAATAAGTTCATTTTTGAAACATAACAAAAAAAAAGTGATAAAAACACTACCATAGTTGACAATAATATACAAATAAATAACATGTTGAAATTTTAAAGAATAACTAATATAATTTTATTATCTACCCATCAATAAAATCATTTAATGATGTGATCATTATCTTTTAAATGATAGATAATATTAATTTTTTTAAAAAAATATTAGTTTTATATAATTAAATAAAGGTTAAAAAATATTACTCGACAAATATTAATTATAATGAATATCAGTAAAATCATTGCATAAATTATTTAAGAAAAAAAATCTTTAAGATCTTAT